GCCCTTAGGCTTATATAGGTCCACTTAACACTAACCACACTGTGTTAACTTTAATTGCTACGCTTAGCATTTAAATCCCAAACTTTAGATTCTGAAACTACATAATTTTCTAAGATTTATCATATTTTTCTTATATTTTTCTGAGCAACTTTCCGGTACGCGCTTTTCCAAGTCAGTACCGGTTTCTAGCACCAATTCTCATTATTTGGACTTGAAACTCATTTTAAAAGTCCTACATGTTATTATAGTAATTATCATGCACTTACTTTAATTTTCCAGGATACGTTTTCGGTACACATTTATACCGACTAGCAGAACCGGTATCTGCACTTTTCTTCCGAAAAACGACTTCCAGCATTCTTAATCACTTATTATGATTATTAAGCCTCATAAATAATTATTAGGGTCAATTATGGAATCATTTCTTATCTTTGCATAATTAATTAATTAAATACCTTAATTAACGGTGCGGGTTCTTACAGGTACTGATGCCTCATGCGGCAGGAGGCCGGAGCTTAGCTGATTATGTTGTTTCTGCTTATTTGTTAGCATGACTGGATATTGATGCTAATTATGTTTTATGCCTTTTATAATTATGTTGTTGTTGAGATTAATGTTGGGCATGTTGCCTTATTTGAGTGAGCATGGGGATTGTCCATGACACTTTCTGTTAGTACTTGTAGTTTGGAGTTGTATAAGCTGTTAGATGGTCCGGTCTACGTTGTTGTAGTTTCGTGACTAGCGCCACACTAATATTATTTATGTTATGAGGTATTTCAGTTAGCTGTTTTATTGTAATTACATACAGCCGATGTTTTATTAATTGATTATTAAGCAAGTTGGTAATGTTAATGGCATCATAATTGAAAAGAAAAAGTAATTCCGTATTTTAATTAAGCGCAGCTTAATATGATATTATGATAACATTACCGGATATATACGGGGTGTTACAAGCAACATGCAAGAACTTGATAGAAAACAGGTTAAAAATGAAAAACACATTGCAGGACTGTGGCTTCTAGCCGAGGCATAGGAAAACGGAAGGACGCTTCTGAATCCAAAATGTTGTCAAAATAAACAACATGTGTACAAGCTGTGATAAATGAAATCAGGCTTGAAAATTAAGGGGCAGATTGGTACGACCTTGATCAAGTCACCATGACGCCTCAAATTTGAAAACCTAATTAAGAAAATTGGGTTAAAAGCAAAAAGCGAAATCCGCATAAAAGACCTTGGCTAAGTTATTTTATTCAGTTAACGCTGAAAATCTAAATCTAAATCAATAAAGCCACAGTGCAAGAAGTTGGGCTCAAAGCGAAAGCCTCAGAAAGAGAAGCCGGGCTCGATGTTAAAAGAAGGTAAACACTGCCTCACTAAAGCACCACCTCAGCCAAAACAGGTTGAGGGAGAAATACAGAAACAACATATTCAATACTCGGTTCACTAAAACCGGCTGAATGAATGACAGATATAATAACTGCAATCGCTGACCCAATTAAGTCGGCCAAGAAGAGTTCCAACCCAAAGAAAATTGCTTCAATGAAGATGCCAAGTCAAAGCAAGAATTCGACTACTAACTTGAATAAAACATGCAAAAGAAATTCAAATGCAGAGATTACTGCTATTATATCCCGACAGCCTGGACAACCAAACTACCGGGCGGGGGGGCAACTGTTATGGACCTGACAAAGGCTTATATTCTAGAAGGTCCAATAAAAGACAGCACAAACAAGAAGGGAATCTTCTATTAATGACGATCCTATCCAGACAGCTAAGTAGCTCACATTCTAAAGGCCCAAATAGGGCTAACAACTAAGAGGAAAATAAGGAAACATTCCTTAATTATATTAATCCTACTACGGCAGCAATGGATCAACAATTGGTCCCCCAATACTCTTAAGAGGCCCCAAAATCTGCTCCTGCCAGGTAACCCATTTATAAATAAAGGCTTAAATCAATAAGGTATACACAAAATCTAAACCCTCTCTCTTAGCTTGTCACTATGCACACACCTCACGCCTTGACTATGTCATTATATTATAGTGCACAGTGATCCGCTTATCTTTAGGGTACCTCTCCTATAAGTACTTGAGAGAGGACAAACAAATCCAATATTAAATTGTCAATATCTGATTGGACATTCACGCACTATAAGAAAAAATTTTATTAGTGACAAAATTTTATGAAATTTCGTCACAAATTCCTACGTCGCAAGTAAATTTCGTCACAAATTCCTGTGTAGCAAGTGTATTTGTGACGAAATTTGATTATTTGTGTCGAAAATTGTCATTTGTGACGAAATTTTTCATCACAAATAAACTTTTTTCTTGTAGTGACGATCTATCATATCGTAACAAGTTCACATGTGTATGTTTTTGTGGGCCACATTAGAAAATGCTCCTTTATCTAAACAATATGTTTGTACACGTTAACTATTAATTTAAATGTTTAGAGCGTAGTCTACTTAAAAATTGTTATTATTCGGGGGGTTTACTTATAACAGACCCTCAAATTGAATTATCCGTGGCTGCCAGACAATTGTTGCACGGTTCCAAACTCTAAAATAACTTGTTCAGAATTGAAGCAGAGTTGATCAATTATGGTCAAACTAATTAATAGCAAGTGCTGGTCAAAAAATTTGAGTCTCGTGTGTGGCTGTTTGAGTGACTATTTCCTCAGTATGATATTGAACCAACTACCGTCCTTATTTAATTAAAACCATGAGACTTCAACGCAAGTCCCATATATTACGTTATCTTTCAATAATTAAGTATCTATTCCACACATATATTTAATGTAAAAAAAGAAAGCTATTTCACACATATATTTGTGGTGGTTGAGAGCACAACTTGCTGGCCACGAAAATCATATTTATAGCAATTTTAGGTTGACTTACTTTGAACAAGTCAGAATCGACCAAGTCTGAGCACTACCCACCTGGTTGCAAATTGGCTTCGGTTGGAAAGAAAGCTTTCAAAAGCTTTTAAATCCTTGACAAAATATATAAGTATGGTTAATATTTAAATTATTTTTATAGGATAATTATTTTACAAGATAATTGGTTGAATTAAATGCATACATCATATATACCATGTATATTATGCATCATAAAGTTTCATCAGAACATATATGGTTGTTCTTATTTGTTTATTGTCACTTTTTTCTTTACTTTTTTTGTGTTTTTTAAATGTTCATTAAATAATTAGATTAAACTAATAGTCTATTGTCACTCTTATATTTATCTAATTTACTTTTAACAAGTATAATAAATTTTTATAATATAATTTTTTTTCCAGTTAACAATTCTAGCTTTTTGTTTTAATTTAAAGTCGTTTCAGCCTAAAAAGCAACTACCAAGAACCAACTGCGTGGAAATAAAACGTCGTGCAGGCTGATAATAAAACGTTGACCAGAAAAAGGAATACATTCTCGAAACAAATTTTCAGAAGAAAAAAAAAAACTGTGGGAAATCTAACTTGGATACGCTGTTCACCATGTGTAACTTGGTCGCTGAAGGAGCAGATGTGTTCCATATATAAGTCCATTCCAATAATAATATATATAATATAGTATAACATATTGTATATAGTATAAATTATACTTTTTTATTTATATTATACTATATACAATATAGTAAAAATTATTGTATATTGTATAATAATGTGTTGTCGTCATTTTATTCAGGTTATAACTAGGAGTGCGCTAGTCGTGAGGTGAGAGGTATCTTATTTAAGGTTATAGGTTGGTCTTATCGTTATATAAAAAAGGTATCTTTAATTATATAAATTTTCAACGAAAATAGATGGAGCCTGTAAGGAGAGGAGAAAGAAAGAAAAGTGAATCTCAGCCTATTTCATGTAAATGTAAGAGATAAAGTTATTTTTATCTTGAAGGAGTAACATTATTCCTATAAATTAACCCCTAAAAAAAATTCTGGCTAGGCTAATACACGTTTCCCTCCGTACCTGATTACTAAGTCACCTCTAAATTGAGAGTCTTATTACCTTTTGCCCCTTCCATCATGGAATGCTGGAGCACCAATAGCAACACATGGAAGCATCTCGATAGATACCCAAATAGCAATATTTCTCATATAAAATAATTAATTTATCCTCACCCAATATCTTAAGGTTTTAAGTTGAAATTGTTCTTAACATGGTATCAGAGCTTCAGTGATCACAAGGTCACGAGTTCAATCCTCACGCCCCCACTTTCAGGTGAATTTAAGAAAAGCACAAGGCAGACTAATAATGGGCTTGTGTCATATCCACGCTTCAAGCCCAAAAGGCTCTTACGTGAAGAGATGTATTAGAGAGATATAAAATAATTAATTTAGCCACATAATATAATTTCTTTTTTTTTTCAAAAGTTTTCGATGGAATTCTTTTTTCGTTGAAAATTTTCGACGAAATCTGAATTCCGTCGAAAAATTTTTAACGGAATACACATTCTGTCGAAATTTTTTTACGGAATCTATTTTCCGTCAAATTTTTTTACGGAAATCATATTCCATGAAAAATTCCGTCAATAATTTCAACGGATTTTTTTCCGTTGAAAAATTCCGTCAATAATAAAGACATTTCTAGTAGTGTTAAGTTTTTGGGTTAAAATGATTCTTAACACTTGCGTTAATTAACAACAATGAACATTCATAAATTAATATGCTTCAAAAAATGAAAAACATTCATAAATTAATCCTTTCACACTGAAAATTATTAAACGCGATTAGTATAACATTGATGTCAACTTTGTTTTGCAATGACCAATTTAATTTATATATGTATATATATAGCTATCCCTTTTCTACGTATTAATAAAAATATCTCTATCTTATTATTCAACTGCTTGATTTTTCCGTCACATACAATTTACTAATTTAGTATTTGCAACTTGTTCTTCCCCGCAGTTGGGACTCGATATAAACTAGGGGTTGAAATCTTAAGACAAGCAAAAGCATCCGAAAATCCTCTTTTCTTCCCACAATTATTCTCTGGTTAATCATGGGTGGTAAGAGTGAAATGTTTTCGGCTACCAGCTTTATGTTCTTGAAGCCCGAAAAAATGTGTTTCTTTCATCTCGCTCAAATCTTGTTTAGCAGTAATTTACACAAAAGAAACTTTGTGCACTGCCATAACGTCGTTATCGAGGAAAGTTTCGACCATAAGTGGCTTATATTTGTCTCGCTCATGGCGCAAAAGTTTCTACAGTTGGTGGCTGTTCCATTGAAAACTTTTGGCCGAATCGTTGAGTTATTGTTGAACTTGGCTTCCAATAACTGCAATGTCTTCATGCTCGTATTTAACTTTCTCCGAGGTTAATTTGTTTTCTTCCTTTCTATATGCTTTTAAGTTTATATTTTGATCTTCACAATGACTAGTGCCAATTTTCATGCAAAACTGAGACCAGTGACTTTATTGAGTATTGGTCTGTACCATTGTTTCTCCCATCATTATCATATCGACATACTTCTTCTATTGTAGGATACAGATCATTGTTTCTACTTTTTGACAAGTTGACTGACCAATTCCAATATGTGTTCGAAAGATGTAATTGGTTGAGTTTTCCATATATATATATAATGGGAAATACTTTTCTTATGTTGTAGGAAAGAAGTTATCTTATGTTATAGAAATAAAATTATAAGTAGGACCCACAGGTAAGAAGAGAGGAAAAAAAAATGATGAGACCCAATACTTTTTTTTTTGTGTAGGAAAGTTGTTTATCTCATTTAAAATGAGATAAACATAACCCCTATATAATAGAGCTCTTAATTTACATATTCAAAAAATTCATTTATTTTTTAATTGTATTTTCCTAAATTTTTATCGATTAAATTATTTTTAATTAAATTAAATTTGAATTTATTCGTACGATTTTTTATTTGATGTTATTATGAACAGGTGAGGAGCTTGTGGATAAAACTTCAGCAAATTATGTGTCAATTGTTGGTCATTTGGACAAGCGAGTGGAGTTAGACAGCAACATCAAATGTGAAGACCCCAAGTACAATGCTGCATTGTCCATGATGGCTTCTAAAGCATCGTACGAGAATGAAGCTTTCCTTCGGGTTACTGTTAAAGATCACTGGAAGGTACAAAATTAGCATTTTAAATTTCTGCAATAATTAACCCTTTTTTCAAAAAAAAAAATTCACCTATTCATTGATTAATCGACTGATTCGGTCAAGTTAGGCAAGGCTATGAGAGCAACAAGCTCTGCTTACTAAGTTGTTAACACAGTTGCCTATACAGAACTCGTACTCGAGAGCACTAGTTCAGATGGAACAATGTCATTTCCTTCATTAATTGATTTCTTTCAAAAATAAAATAAAATTCTAAACCATTAGAAAGAATTGGCCTAATAAAAGAATATTTTATAATACGTTAGTCCTAATGAAAGTAGATTGTGACACAGTGAATTGTACCTACAATGTTAAAGATTCCAAATCTATAATTGTTAGTTTGAAGAGTGCTTTACTTAAACACCATACTCAGTCCGAAGGGTTGATCTTATAGAAATAATATATGTGGGGATACCCTAATTAAAGACAAACAAAAATGAACTAATTAATATTTTTTTTTTTGTTTATGTAAAGAACCTTGGGATACACCCCAAAAGCTAGCTCAAAGGGTGGGAGTGCCCAAGACCTTATAAACTCCACATTAGTTGCACATACAACCAATGTGGGACTATATATCTCAACAGTTTCCAAGTATTTAAACTTCCGGTTTTTTATTTACTTTTTTTTTTACATAATTAGAAATATTTTAAGCTAATTGTTTTGGAGCATCTATCATGTTCTCAAGTTGATTTTGTGTTGTGGCATAGATGGAACTGGTGGCATGCGATTACTACTGGAATGGTAAGATCTTGAGAAAGCAAACTCTATGTGTGTCGCACTAATTGATCAAAACATCAGAAAGGTTAATCATTTGTTATTATTTGAAATTTGGCAGATTATCAAGGAAAAGCTACAACTAAGGCTTTCATCCTCTTAGATAAAAGCAATGACCACGATACCTACGTTGTGGCATTCAGAGGAACCATACCCTTTGATGCTAATACATGGTCCTCTGATATTGACATTTCATGGTTAGAGCTTCCTCATAATGTTGGAAAAGTCCATGCTGGTTTCATGAAAGCCTTAGGATTAAAAAAAGGGGATGTGGGTTGGCCTAAGGAAATCAAAACAGATGAGAGCCATCCACCTGAAGCCTACTACGCCATTAGAGATTTACTAAAGAAGCATTTGGATGGAAATGATAAAGCAAAGTTTATAATTACGGGTCACAGTTTAGGTGGAGCTCTTGCAATTCTCTTTCCAGCAATGTTGATAATGCATGATGAGACGTTTCTTTTGGAGAGGCTTGAAGGGGTCTATACGTTTGGGCAACCAAGGGTTGGAGATAAAACATTTTCCAACTACATGAGAGAAAAATTGAAAGATAATCGTATTGAGTATTATAGGTTTGCATATAGCAACGACATTGTTCCTAGGTTGCCATACGATGACAAGAACATGATGTTCAAGCACTTTGGGAGATGTCTTTATTATGATTGGAGCTATAAAGGCAAGGTGCGTTATAGTAATATATCAACTTCTATTTTTCTTTTGAGCTTGATTATCATGCATTTAATATATTTAAAGTGATCATCAATGTTCAAAAACTATTTTTTTATAGGAAAAGTGTCTAAATAAAATTAGGGTTTTGATTTTCTGCCTTAAAGGCAGATAAATGTCTATGCCGCAGAGATATATAGGTTTAAAAAAAATGGGACCCACAAAAAAAAAACAAAAAAAACAGGAATGTACCCTTAAGCAGATATATAACTCTTTTTACTTTAAGGCAGAAATAGTTTACCGATAAAATTATTTCATACAATGTCAAGATTGGCATTAGGATTTGAAAAAATAAATAAAGCATTTCAAGAATTTTATTTTTATCTTACTACATGAATTTTTCTAAAATACTCAGTAATTTTTTTTTTTCAAATCTTAAACAATATCATTTTGGATTATCTTAAGTGATAAGAGGAATACTAATTTTTTTTTTTATATATGAAATTAATACAGATGGTGCATGAAGAGCCGAATAAGAACTATTTCTCTTTGTCAGCGATGATACCGATGATGGTGAATGCGTTTTGGGAGCTCATAAGGAGCTTCACTATTGTGTTTAAATATGGATATGAGTATAAAGAAGGATGGCTTCTAAGATTTTTCAGGTTAGTGGGCTTAACAATACCTGGATTACCTGCTCATCTTCCCCAAGATTATGTTAATGTCACCCGGTTGGGATCAATTCACTCACATTTGGATTGATGTACTCAACTGAAGATCAGAATCATAAGTGATTTGTAGAATGATTTCTAGCTTTAGAGTCGATTTAGTGAAGTCTTTAAACCTTTTCTTATCAGAAGAATATGTATTAGTCTTAATTATATAATTTGTAAGAACGATTATCTTGGCTTTAGGATAAAAAATAAAGTATTGAATACATTTTGAGTTTTCAATGTATTAAATATTTTGTTCTTCATTTGATATTTTTATTTTCCTTAAACAGTTGATAATTAAGGACATTTGTTAATTAATGGCTAAATATAAATGCATTTGCGCCAAAAAAAAAATTATCCATGTATTTGCGCCATATATAGATTCTATATTTATTTATACGAAGAAGAAATAAATTAATGATATTTTTTTATCTTTTAGTCTTGGTCGAAATTTTTTAATATATTCCAAAACCACAGTAGTCCTTCAACTGAAAAATTGACACCTGACTTAATTTTTTTTCCTCTCCTCTTTTCTTTCTCCTCAACCTTTTCTCTCTTTCTCTTACCTTCGTCCCACCAAATTTTTTTTTGGATCCGGAGCACACAAATATCGCTCGTATTGGGATGCAATATTAGTTGTTCAAGATTTTTGGTCTCCCATATAAAAAAAAATTAAATCCTTAAATGCAATTAAAACATTGATGGAGCTTTATAAAAAACATATTGATGGAGTAAAATAAATGTAAGAAAAAAAGATTGGTACGTAAGGCAACCAAAAAATCTTTAAAATAAGACAAATTTAGAGGAATTCATCACCAACATTTTTTTATTAGGAAAAAGTTGAAAAAACTAAAAAAATGATAATATAAAACTAGCTTAGTATAGTTAATTGGGTTCAGAAGTTGGTTATACACATGAAAGAATGGAAATTTAATCCCACAACACTCTTATGAATCTATCTTTAGAATTCACCTCAGAGGCAATTGTGGGAACCAAATAATTTTTAATAGGTTTTTCTTTTCTCATATTACATGAGGTAGCATATCTCTTTTCTCACCTCAGAGGCCATAGACACAACAAGTCCTGAGATTCACTACTTGTTAAAAAAACAAAAAATAAAAAGGATAGTATGAATATCAATGTCTCACAACATAAGAAAATTATCTCCTATTACATGAGAAAATAATTTCCCAATTTTTAAATATATTTAACTTTATCATTTTAAAAAACACAACTTTATGGGCAAAAAATTAAAATACTGTTATTTTAATAAATAATTACGAATAGGTTGTTGTTTTGAATGTAATTACGAATATGTTGTGTTCATTCACGCCCAAATTGGGCAAGAAGATTCACGTCCAAAGTAGGCATAAATGCTATGTAATTCACGCCTAAGTTAGACGTGATTAGTCATGCCTAGGCCAGGCATGAATGCCTTAACCTATATATACCCCAAATTTTCTACTTTTCATTTTCACACCTTCACTCTAAAATTGTTATTTGACTTCTCTAGATTTCTTGTGGAGATTTTTGTGCAACGAAGCCTTGTCAGACAAGTAAGTCTTCATATCTGGTTTATTTATTTTTTAAATATAGTAGTATATATGTTATACTAGTGATCTAGGAATATCATAGTGACCTAGGAATTTGTACATGTAATATGTTATTCTAGTGACCTAGGAATATGTTAATGACTTAGGAATATGTTAGTGACCTAGAAATATGTTAGTGACCTAGATATTGCTAGTGACTTAGGAATATTTTATACATGTAATTTAATATATTTTTTAAATCTTGTTTTAGGAATATAAATTATTCGAAAATAAAACTAATTATACCAATTAATTTGTAATTTTGTATAGTACATTACTATGGCTGACTCGTCACCTTCCGAGTCACCTCAGTCTACATCCGATACCGAGATCGAGCCTTTGGATCCCACGACACACGTGCTTCTAGGACCATATAGGTGGGAAGTACTTCGGAGGCGCACATATTATATGCTTGATCCACTACACCAAAAGCGTGATTTAGCGACGGTTTTTTTTTGGAATTAGCGGTGGTTTGAACCGCCACTAAAAAACTCCTACGGCCAATTAAAAATCGACTCAGAAACTTAGATAATTTAGCGACGGTTTACATAACCCGCCGGAATTACCGACGCAAAAACCAAACCGACGCTGAAATGGATATAAACCGCTAGCAATTATTACAAAAAAAAATCCAATTTATTTATAGCGACGGTTTAGAACCGCCGTTGAATCCTGTAATTCTATTTTTTTTATTTTTAATTAAATTTTTGTGGTTATTTCAATAAATAAATTTTTTTTTTGGTAAAGATAAATATTATAAACAGCAAAATTCATTAAAATTACATAATTTGACTCAAACTCTAACAATAATTTCATTGATCATAAATACATTCATTGTCTACAATCAAACCTTTCATTATATCATTAAAATATAAAAAAAAAACTAATACAATTATGAAGTCAACTTTAAAAGTCTGACATTAAAAATTAATAAATCCAAATATATGACAAAAACAAAGTACATAAGTCTTTTACAAATTAATCACAAAAAGTATAAAAATGCACACTTGGTAGCTGACCTCTTCTGCCCAGAGAGTACCTCACATCATGCACACTATTCAGATCTGACTGTGCATCCAGTCCCTATGAAGACCAAGCATACATTTAAAAGGTCATTATTATTTGGCAAAACAAATATCCACTGTAAAGGTTCGTTTAAAAAATGCATAGCCTAAACAATTATAACTCCCCGTGATTCAATACTCACGTCAAAGATAATATTTCTATCATGATAAGAATACTAGCGATGCCCTATTGCTGAACCAGCTAGAGTTAACAACATTGTTACGACGAGTATATATTGAAACAAACAAAAAAAAGTACTAGAACATTTATGACAATAGATAGCTGCTCATATTTCATATTTCCCATGAATGATGTCCCTAACAAGCAAATTAATTATACTAACCATACTCCAGAAAAGCACTGCATTTCCTTTGATTGGTTTCAAAGATAGCCCTTTGACAAATTTCCCACCACAAAATAGTTAATACTAGCACACATACCACAGAATAGATAGCAAATAGTAACATATTACAAATTGAGCCTATTTCTCTTGTGTACAATAAAATCCAAATAGAATCTTCTAATTTAATAAATTATTCTTAATAATATTATTTTATAATCATTAATTTCATTTTGATTAAGATAAAAAAAATTATAAATAAATGTAAACATTATTATCGCAAATTTTGTTTTGACCAGCCAAAGAACTTGCCCATGTAACTGGCTGTGGCAAGGTAGTTTAGTTGCACCTGTGAGATGTTGAGTATTGATTTCATAGCTGAAGAGTACTCTGAAAATAACAAATGATATAATTAGTATTAGTTAGGAAGTTTTTAACCTTGAATGAAAATAATAAATGATATAATTAGTATTAATTGTGAAGTTTTCAAAATTTTCAACCTTGAATGACATTGATTGTGAAATTCGAATTTCAAAGTTTTCACCTTAAAAGAAAATAGTAAATGACATTGATTGTGAAATTGAAACTGAAGTTTTGAAGTTTTTAACCTTGAATGAAAATAATAAATGATATAATTAGTATTAATTATGAAATTTTCAACCTTGAATGAAAATAATAAATGATACAATTCGTATTAATTATGAAGTTTTCAACCTTGAATGAAAATAATAAATGATACAATTCGTATTAATTGTGAAGTTTTCAAAGTTTTCAACCTTGAATAGCATTGATTGTGAAATTCGAATTTCAAAGTTTTCACCTTAAAAGAAAGTACTAAATGACATTGATTGTGAAATTGAAACTGAAATTTGGAAGCTTTTAACCTTGAATGAAAATAATAAATGATATAATTAGTATATGTACGCTCATTATGGCCTGTAGCAAGGGACTCATTATACTTCAACTACTCAACCACATTTTTGCAATGACGATGTGAAGCATGAAGTTATAAAGCAGCTGTTTGACCCCTGTTAACAAAATAATGAACCAGCCGGCTGTATGTATGCTGAACCAGACCAATTATTGGCATGTTTCTTGCCCCCTTTAACTCCTTGTTTTCTGATTCAGACAAGTTTGTTGTCATATGGTCATATCTTCATCCCTCCACATCATATGCACATGTCCACTTTTCCTTAGGGATTTGATAAATCCATTATGCAATCTTAAGACTGGTATCACAAAATTTTGCAAAAGCTATATTGAAATCCACCTTAGAAGGAGTATGACCTGGTGACAATGATAATAATTTACATTTAAATTCATTAATAATTTCAAATGACAATATAAGAGTTGTAACCCATACCTAAATTCAAAATCGTCTTCTTCAATTTTTCATTTCTAAAACCTTTGATTAAAATTGCTAGCAATATGGCGAAAGCAAAACACATGATGGGCATGCGGTGGCTTCCAACCACGATGATTCTCCACAACAAATAATATGCTTCGATGTCGATTTGAAATGAGATGTATATTTTGCATCTGCGTAACATGACGACGAATGTTATCGAGGAAGTATTCCCAGGCTACCAAGGTCTCGCCCTTAACAATGGCAAAAGCTAGTGGCAAACATTCATTATTTCCATCCTAAGCAGTGGCAATCAACAATTTTCCTTTATACTTACCAAAAAATACAATGAAACACACATTTTTCACGTACCAGTTGATGAGCAACAAAATAATCCTCTGTTTGAAGATTATAAACAGAACCCGGCGAAAAAGTGAAGCATATATTCACACCAGCATGGCAAAAATGCATAAAACCACTCTCAATAATCGTACATCATTGCAATTGCTTTCTGCTTCGCATACCATGCATATCTATATGAAACTTTGAAACCATATTGATGCTCACCGGCAAGTATACCGATCGCACAAGTAATATAATGAGTAAGTAGAATATCGTCTCCACAGGGATTGTAAACCAAGTACCACAATAACCAGTCCCCTTAAGTTGGAAAACTCAGTTGTTTTTGGAAAATAGTGAATTGATGG